CAGGGATGTCTACGCCGTCAATCCAGATCTTCCGCGTACGAAAGTCTAGGACCACGTTATGCGCATTGCAGAACGTGGTGCCTAGCACCATATCATACCGGTCGATGTCAACGACATCGACGTAGTTGACGTTGTTGACGGGGCCAACCGTAATCTTCGGCAGCGCACCATAATTTATGGTGGTGCGACTGCCCTTCGTTCCAAGCTGCAGGTTGATCTGCTCCTTGAGATCAACCCTGTCAGCCTTGGACAGGTACGCCAACTCCGGTGATATAGTGTCGGTCGTGCACCCTGTGTCAAACAGAGTGTACGCCTTCACGCCGTTGACGTCGACTTCCGCGCATAGTGTTTGCTGCGAGTCGGGGGCGCGCTTGGGCTGGTCTTTCAGATCCGACGTTCGTCGAATCTTCGAGTCGTATAGCCAGGCTGCCTTCATCGACCTCGCCGAGGGCATGACTTGCATGGCACACGAGCGCACGATGTCGGTCATTGCGGCATCGTACGACTGGTGGGCCAGCTGTTCATGGCGTTGTTGGGTCGACTGTTGTCGCTCAATCCGCATCGCACCCATCCACATTGAACCCATGTGGACGGTGTGTCCCTCTTCGTCATCTTCGCTACGATCGTCCACAGGAGAGTTTTCTCCTGGGTCATCGTATGCGTAGTCTCCGTAGTCGGACTGAGGGTGCTGGTCGGTTTCGATACCTGTCCTAGCATCCTCAGTGTCCACTGCGTTGACTTCTTCCCGTTCCGACGTCTCTTCGACCGGCTGGTCAGTCTGATGCATGGCGTCCGCATCGCTTTCTTCAGCGACGCGTCCGGCATGCATCTGGACCTTCTTCGGGTACGTCTTGCTGTAACCTCCGTACGGACGACCATCGGTGGTCGTCTTGCCGGTTGGAGCAGGAGTCTTCTGGAACCTGCTGGCCGATCCATCCATCTGGTTCCCAGACCTGAAGTTCGCACCGTCCATCTGTGTGCCTGTCTTGAATCGTGGTACAAAGGGTTTCTTCCCCTTGTTCAACGACTGACCACCGCCGGTATTCTTGTTACTGGTGGTGGCAGGCGTTGCTGCCTTCGTATTGGCACTACCACCATCCTTGGCGGTAGTTACCATACGTTGCAGCCACAGCGCCGATCCCGCTTTCTGAGATCGCTGGGCGTGCTCGTACTCATTGGTCTTCTCAATGATCTCCTGCAGCTCAGACCTCTCCGGTGTGAGCATGCAAGTGTTCCTGAGGTGGTTCTCGACGTCGCGGGGAAGGGCAGACATAAATTTGCCTTTCCACACGTACGGGCTTGGCTTCTCAGCCATACGTTCGCCATACCGAGTCAACCGGTCGATCAAATCTATGGCACCGCCCTTCTGGGTGTATTTCGCGCCATAGAATGCTTCGGCCGCCTCGATCTCACCATCCCGTCGGATGTACCGCTCATGTAGTATCATTATTACATCGGCGAACATCCAGGCGGGCTGGTTCGGTTTCGTATAGTTTATGCTACGGATGTACCACATACTGGGTTCCCCAGTAAGTGAGTCGCCTAGCATGCGGAGCCTATCCGCGTCCATCCGCGGTCCTGTTACGCGGAGCGTCTGGAAGTACGAGAGGAGCTTGTAGAGCCACTCTTCGAACTTGTACAGATCGTCTTCGCCGCTCCAGGCCGCAGGGGTTTGAAGCTTAACGGATCGCAGGTACATGGGAGGGTCATCCATTGGTGGATCCCCTACCATGGTCTGGATCATGTTCCAGCACTTCTCCCTCGACCTTGCCAAGGGGTCTAACGCGGTTCGCGTGCGTGCTGGGGCGGTGCTTACGCTCTGAGGGTCCCGGCTCGTACCCATGTATGAGTACGCCTGGAATCTCCCATAGCCAACCCCGCCTTCTTTCGCCTTGGTTGGGTCGTTCCCGGAGTTAGAAGCGCTTGAGCCTCCAACTCCTGGTTCGAACACAACGTTCGGTTTCTGAGGAACTGGCGGTATAGGTACCCCACTTGCTGTGTACCTATACCCGTCGTTCTCGGTCCTTGTTGCACCGCCGCCGGTTCTCGGTGGAGGTGCGGGACCTGGCATGTGAGGGGGCGGATCCTTTGATGGTACAGGTCCGTCCTTCGTCTGGAAGAACGCGTACCCCGGCCCCGATGTACGGTACGGAGACCTAGTGAATCCCGGTTCACCAGGTCTCGGTTTCCGTGGTTCCGTTGGTACGGGACCCGGGGTTGGGGGTACTGCTTGGGCAGTGCCTCCTAGGGTACTGGCTAGCCGTTCCGCGGCTGCCATTCGCCTCGCGAATTCCGCGTCCGACTCGTTCCTTCCCTTGGGGAGGACCAAGTTTGCTGCTGCGAAACTCATATTGGGATCCGCGTTGATATCCGGCCGCGCCGGTGTCGAGGTCGCCGCTGGGGGCGTCCTTGGCGGCGGTCGCTGCGTCGGTATATCATTCGACGACTCGTCTTCAGTTTCAACGGTCGTAGGCCTAGCCTTCCCCCATCCGCCGAACATGCTTTCTGCTCGTTCCGGCCTTTCACGCTCCTTGCCTTTGCTCATGGGCGGACTCGACTTCCGAGGCGACGAACTTGGTTCGTCTGTCTCGTTGTCGGCCTCCGTTCCCGATTCTCCTCCTGGCTTGTTCGGGATTCTTGCCTCGACGTAGTTGGCCATTTCGTTCATGAACTCTTCAACTCCCGCGTTGAGATCCCTTCTTAGCTGGATGAACTTGGCCTCGGACTCACGCTGAAGAGCCTCGATAGCCTCCGTGTTGGCTGCTCCGAGTCTCTTAGCATGGCCTCGAATCGCCAGGATCATCGCCGATGCGCCCGACTGAGTCCCGCGACGGGACCCAGGCGAACCCTTCGGTTTGGCTGACGTCGAGCGTGCAGATTTACTGGCGTTGCTCGACTTCTTTTCCTCGGGCGTTCGGACACGTCCGCTTCCTTCCGGACGTGCCGGAGATATCCTCGCTGAATGAGGTCTGGCTCCGCTGTCTGGTGACGCAACCAATCGTTCGTCACTAAACACGCGAGCTCCTCTCGGCGATACTCTCGACGTGTAAGGTTGTTCACCTCGCTTCGGTGATCCACCCAATTGGGGTGGATCCACGGGCGAGTTAGCTCCTTTCGGAGAGGGGGACTCAGGTGCTTGGTCCGCCATTTTCTTTCTTGGTAGAAAGCGTCCGCGACTATCACGCGGTTGTTGCGATTTAGATTTTGTAATGATGAATGTTGTGATGGGGGTTGTTACGTAGCGTGCAGTTCCCTGATAGAGCGCCCTTCCGAGTGGAAGTTCGAGTTATCGAAGGACTGTAAAAAAGTGTAACGTGCCTTACTCAATCCCGCAGATACAGTGCACCAATCTCCATTGAGAAGTGCGATGTATCCGGAGGACGACGAGTTAAAGGACTTGTCCTTCAACTCGCCGGGCGACGACCTATAAAGGTACGACGCCAAACACACGCAAACGTATATACATACAAGCATATCGATCCAATAAGTCCATAACGGGATTACACACGTCCATACGGTAACGTCCCGTTACACCCAATGAATCTAATGTTGCTCAATCTCAATTTGCACTGTCAATGAACTGTCGTAGCATCGAGGGAATATGCTACTAGTGAAGTACTACGACTCAATGAGACAGGAATGGCAGATCATGCTCTGGAATGCACCATATTACTTATCCATTCGTACTTGAAAGAGAGGGGACTAGCTAACAAAAGCTATTCTCGAAAAACTCGGGAACATATGACATTACTGTCTATTCCGCAGAATAACAGTGTACTACGGTGCATTCACAGGAGGGTTTTTTCCTGATGGGCATGGTCATGCAGGTACTCGTTAAGGGCCGCGCGAGCCTTCTTGCTGGTTAGACAGATATCAGACAAGTCCCAGTCTTTGACTCTACAATTCGCCCATGCCTGGTACACAAGGTTAGTCAGGACTCAGGCCTCAGGTGCCACCCAGTGACTCGGATGTGACTGGACTGACTTTCTTCACAATCTCGCGGCCATCGAGAGTCTGCATGAAATCGTAGACCTCAACCAGTGGCTGCACGGAGGCGTCTCGTAGCTTGCCGATGGCAGTCGCAAACTTCATGTCTTCGGCTTTGACACCGCTCTTGAGTTGCTGCTGATGGTCGTCGACGAGCCACTGCAGTAAGAATTGTTTAATCCGATGTTTGATGATCCTTTGTAAGCCGACGTCGGCGGGCTGAAAAATCGGAGTACCTGGTGCCACGACGGAGATGAGCATAAGCTAGAGAAATTATTCAAAGACTCACAGTTTGCAGGGACGAATATGAGGATAACATTGGGATGCTTGTCCCGAATATACGTACGAAAGCTTTCGCCAATATGGACAGGATAGCAGTCGATGTAAAGGATCGCCTTCTGATTCGTGGGAAGATCTGGATCCTCGGCGATGACACGCTTGATGTACGGGTCGAGAATCCTTTCAGTCCACTGTGACATGAGCCGTAAGTTCTGAGTCAATGACTGACAGAGATAGAGCCCAGTCTTACCTCCTGCATCGTCTTCAGTGTGCTGAAATGGCTCGTTTTCTTATTGCTCGCAGCGAAAGTGAAATCGAAGCCATGGCTTGCATCGAGAGCTTCCTGCATGCCCGGAGCGGTGTGCGCAGGTAGGACACGTGTCGACGCGCCAGCCCAGATCTGCTGGAATGGTAAGAAGTCGCCTGCTGGCGTACTTGCTACAAGCAGGCTGTATGCTCTCTTCTCTTCTTTCCCAACCACGTCAACCTGTCGTGCTCCCTTGTCGTGGTAGGTGACCGTGTTTCCTGGCAGAACATAATTACCGAGTTGATCCATGTTTATTACTAGCTGTTCAGTCCGTGAATGAGCAAACCTCGCAAATGCTATATCAACGTGTTGTACCTTTGGTGGTACATCAAACCACTTCGTGGCATAGATCATCCGGAAGAAGGTCTTTTCGCACACGTCGTCCGCATCAGCTGGTATATGTGCAGCTGCACGGGTTGGCTTCCGTATCGTCCACGAGAGTGTACTTGCAAAGAATGCGCGTACATAGTTCTTATGCATTATTAGCTGACACACTGGCTCGAGCATATGGGCGGGCAAACAACCTGACGTACCTCCGAGCACTTGAACTTCTCGAGGAGCTCTGGCTTCCGCTCCTTTATAATTGCAAGCAGAATTGAACATCCAATTACCACGTTCACAGCCACACCAGCCGTACGCAGCTCTTTCAAGGCTGTCTTCATCTCGTCAACAATATCAGGATGATTCGACAGGATTCCAACGCGGCCAGAGCCTGTCAGGGCGTGGTATCGCTCGACATTCTTCTTGGTCGTCTCCGACCAATCAAATCCACCAGGAGCAAACCATCGGTGGACTGTCTGTCTCCGGAGACGGCCATAGAGCTCTGGCATCGTGCGGTGCAACTCTTTTGCGATGGCCTCTGCACCCCACCCGACCTTCCGGGCCGCCTTATCAATATGCAACCACAAGAACGGATGATACCAGTTGGTGCGCACATGACGCTCCTCCTTAGCACCTCCACGCGAGCCTGTCCGCTTCTCTTTCCATTGTGAGTGAGGCCGGGATACCTCTGCTATCGCATCAACAAACTCGGAACTGCCACCACTGTTGGCCCCAGAAGTTGCATTGCCGATGAGCACCTATTGAAGGCATCACTGAACATCGTCAGTGTAGTGTAGCATCTATGATGTGCATACCTCGGTGACAGTTTTCTTAGAGCTTTGCATCTCTCGCTGCTTCGCAGCCTTGACCTTCGCGCGACGCTTCCGTTGGCGGTCACATGCATCCCGGCGCTTCTTCGCCTGCTTTCGCGCAGCTCGTTCAGCTCCAAGTCGTGCTTGCTCTGCATCGTGTTCTCGGGACAAGGCTGCGTCACGACGAAGCTGCTCCGACCTCTCGGCTGGTGTTTGTTTCTTCCATCCGAAGGAATTGATACCTTGTTGTCTGAAGGCAGTAGATCGTTGATTCAAAACCGCCTGGGACTCGCTGGACACTACAAATGTCGTGAGTGACGTCTGTGTTCAGCAGACTAGGTCACACCGTTGGACCGCGCTCTAACTTACCTGCTTGAAGGTGTTGCTGTTAAGCTTGAGGTACACAAGTAGTTCCGGTGTTGGAAGTACTGGAGTGAGAGCTACGCTACTGGTGGGTCTTATATACATCTGAGAGACGCTGACTAATACTACTGTATAGTCCATTCCCACGCATGACTTGCTCTATGCGGTAAGTGCGGATCTAGCACGTGCAGTGTGATCCGGCCCGTGGAACCCGGCGGCCCGGTGGGCGCCTATACGGTTCAACACTCCCCCTTGCTAAGTACGTCCCTGACATACGAAGCATATCCTGGCGCCATGGGCTGCCGTCCGTGGTTGCTCTAGGACTCTTCATCGTAGAATCGAAGTCCGAGCATGCCTCTGAACTTTTGGAACTTGACGCGGCCCAAGTTCTTGGTGAAGAGGTCTGCCGGATTGTCATCAGTGCCAATGAAGAAGACTTCGACTTGTCGTTCTTCAATAAGCTCCCTGATATAATGATAGCGTATGTCGATGTGTTTCGACCGCCTCTCAGTTACAGGGTTGGAGCCGATGAATATCGCTCCCTGATTATCCGAGCAGATAGGTAGTGGGCCAAGTGGATATCCAATCTCCGTGAGGAGCATCTTAATCCATACAACTTGGCGGCTGCAGTCGCTGAGCGACATGTATTCAGCCTCAGTTGAAGACAGTGCTACCGTCTTTTGCCGTCGAGACAGCCAACTGAACACTCCACCAGCTCACTTCATAAAGTAGCCACTCTGAGACCTCCGCATCTCCGGGTCGTTAGCCCAGTCGGAGTCTGTGCACGCCGAGACACCTTGTCCAGTTTTGCCGCTGTATACAAGCGCATAGGACTTGGTTCCAATTAGATAGCGGCAGATATACAGCGCTTTATCCAAGTGGTCCTGTGACGGGTTCGCAGCATGTTGCGCGATGTGGCGTCCCTTAATCCTCGGGCCCGGTATGCGCTGTACCCAGTCTCTATTCAGAGGGACTGTCTACACGTAGCATACATGGGGCGATGAGGATGGTAAAGGACTGAGGTCTCGCAGGTGCGCTGGCACGCCATACGAGCCCTCGAACAAACAAGAACAAGCATACGAGATTAGATATACCGTAACGGGAATATCCGTTACACCCTCCCCCACTGGACACGACCATGGGTCCCAGAGATAACCAGAGAAATGAAAAGAAAGAAGGGATTGTACACGCGACAACACAACGGTGGTAGTGATTGGCAATACAAGGGTGGTGCCATACTGTAGACAACGACAAACTACTTCGTGTCAGTGAGCAGCATGGCCATCCACTCTCGTCATACATAACTCGATGGAGTTATGCAGCCTGCAATAGTGATGGCGACAGCTATCGGCAACAAGAAAATGGTGACCTGTCACTGTGTCGAAGAACTGTGAAGTTCTCCAGACACATCGCGGACGATGGTGATAGGGATGTACCTCGAGCATGAAGCTCGATCTCTAACCCATGAGCCCGATGCGCAACCGTGCTGGACACGACCGACGTGATTCTCAAATCACCGTCGACCTCCTCATCGTGGACGTCGACGGAGAGGTCCAACGTCTGTGCGTGGGCTACAGACCGACCGGATACATCGGTCGAGCAAGTAAACTCGCCGATTGTACCGCGATGTATCGTCGTGCCGGGTGCGACTCGCAGGTCATCCCCCGGGCCGACTGTACCACTGTTGTATACAGTGACTGCCACGACAACCAATGCGGTTGTCGTGGTCATCACGGGTGGTGATTGCGGGGTAGGGAATGGTGGCGCGAATAAAGAGGGTACGTCCAATAAGGACGTACCTTTGCTTTTCGAGCTCGCAGGCTCGTCTTCTTCGCCTACACCGCACCCTTCCTCCTCTCCTCCTTCTGCCTGACCTTCCTCATCTGATTCTCCTGGTTCTGCATCCTCGTCCACGTTTCCTCCATCCTTCCATTCCTCGCGCGATCTCCGGGGTGCATGCGAGGTCGCCGACTCGTGGCGCCTGTCGTAGTCGCCATGGGTGTCGAGGGCCGCGGGGAGGTCGATAGGGGTTAAAGTGTGGGTCCTTGGGAGCGAATCCTCGGCGAGAACTGTAAATTTCTCGCCGAGTTGAGGGTCAGAAAGCCGTTCTGGTCGGTCGGGGTCCGTAGGCGCCGGCTGCTGCACTACACTTAGTGCAGCAACTCGGTCACGGTCTTGAGCTCGCGCGTCCATTAGGGCTACGCAATCGTCGAGCTGCACCGTCGACGGGGCGCTTGGTTCACAACGAGAGTGGTGGTCGCTCAACCAGTCGAGGTCGAGGTTGTATCGCAGGCTTCCCAGCTGAACCGTGAATGGTTCAGTTGTCTTGACGGGACCGGGGGCTTGCACTTCCTGTTGGGAGTGCAAGTCTTCTGGACAGACGGCAGCGCGTGAGTGGGTACCATCAGGGACGGAATCGATGCCGTTCCACGACCCTGTCAGTTGAACTACTGCGGGTTCAACTGCACCGGATGTTCGCACTTCCGTGATGAAGTGCGGACCGTCTTGATGCGGGGCCGGGCGTAACCTGTCGCTGCCGGACGGAAGGTCGAGGAATTCACGGAAGAGGTCGTCGGGGTCGTCCCGCAGCTCGGCCAGTTGGACCACTGGTGGTTCAACTGCGCTGAAGCAGCCAGGGACCCGTACTTCCGCGGGGACGTACAGGCTGTCCTGCGCGGTGCGACTAGCCAACGGGAGGTCAGTAATGATCGGGGGATGGTGATCACTGACGCCGTGTACGTCGAGCGGCGGGCTAGACGTACACACCACATCGCGTGCAGTCAAGGTTGAATTGGGCACGTTGGGCATGCATCGCTGCATGTCCATCGTGCCGCCTTGCGAATTGGAGGTTATGACCGCGAGGTCGTCCCCTAGCGTAGGTGTGCTCTCTTGCAGAGCGGGCCTGATCCCGGGCAAGGAGGATGTCGAGATGGGTACGTCCATCAGGGGCGTACCTTCAGCTCTCGATCCTTCGTGCTGGTCGGTAGCGTGTACGTCAAGCCTTGAGCTCGGCATACTCGCTATCCGATGGTCGGTGATATATGGGTGGGGCACGTCGGACGTGCGAGACTGCATGTCCACCGTGTCGTCTTGCCAGATGGGGAGCCCGTGGACGACCTGGAGGTCGTCCCCTAGCACAGTCGTACCTTTTTGCGGAGCGGACGGTACGACTTCGCAGTCGTACCTGGGGACAGCAACGCCATCTTCGTGGCCTCCAGTGCGCACGACAAACGTTCCGTTTGTCGCTGCAGCTCTGGGCACGTCCGTTGTTACGCAGGGCACGTCGGACGTGCAGTTCTGCGTGTCCACCGTGTCGCCGTGCGTACTGCCCGGTACAGCCTGTAGGTTGTACCAGGGCCTGTGCGTGCGATGTGCGTGGCCAACAGAGCGTACGACGACCTTCACGTTCGTCGATACGCCTGTTGGCGCGGTCATAGGTGGCGGCGAGTGTGGCACGTCGGACGTGCTGTGCTGCGCATCCGTCGTGCTGTTGTGCACTGACAAGGGTACGACCCGCGGGTCGTTCCCTAGGGCTGCTGTCGCTGGCGGGGGTACTGGCACAGGCGGAGGCGAGTCGGGTACGTCCAGTGAGGGCGTACCTGCGATTTGTGAGCCCTCTTGCTCGCTTTCTCTACTCGCCCCGCACCCTTCCTCCCTCTCTCCCTTCGTGCCTTCCTCGCACCCTTCTCGTTCCTTCGGGATCTCCTCGCAGCCTCCACGATCCGCGTTCCTCGTGGTCCTCTCGGTCTTACGGCTCGGCGCTGGGCTTGAACGCGCGGTGTTCAAGTCCGGAGTCGCGCGGCTGGGTTGCGTGTCGCCAGAGTCGCAGTAGTGGTCGCCAGAGTCAAGGCGCGAGACGAGGGGAAAGAGACGAGGAGCCGGGGAAGAATAAGGTGGCGAACTTGTACCGCGAGGTACCAGTTCGTTGGTCGCCTCTGACTGAACTGGCGGCAGTTCAGCCAGGCAGTCGCGAACGCGAGTTCGCACTCGCGTTGGGACGCCACGCGCGTCTGGTTCGCCAGACGGGCGCTCGATGTGGCTGCCCAGAGAGTGGAAGGGGTCGAGAACGAGGGTTCGGTGGTGGCGGTCGAGCGTAGTGCGGTAGGCGCTAGCGCTCGGGTCGCTCTCCACAGGCTCGTGACACCCAACGCCTGTAGCGTTGAGCACGTCGCGCGTCGCGTCGAGCAGGCTGCTCGTCGTGGCGTGCACGTCGATCGACACAAATAATATATTTCTTGTGTCGCGGCTCATTTCTGAGCTCGCGACGAGTGTATCTACGCACGCGGGCTCGTTCCCGCTGTACACAGTACTGTTGTAGTACTGTGTGCCTATACCCTCCCGAGCGCGGAGATGCGTCGACTCGACGCACCACTCGTTCGGCTCGGATGCGAGCTCGATGACGGACGTGTCTTCGAGCTCGGCGCGTGCATCATCCTTCGGGGTGATGCCTAGCTTCGTCGCTTGGGCCGGGGCACCTCGGGATGGCAGTGCCTCCAGGTGGCATTGAGCAGACCCGACGGCGGTCTCGGGCTGCTCAGAGCGCTGTGCGTACCCGGCTTCGTCTTGGCGAATGACGGGTCCCGGTACGACCTGAAGGTCGTCCCGAAATGTGAGCGTGATGTCATCTCCATGATCACAATTGATCATGAAGGCGGAGATGAAGAGACGGTGGCCCGACGAGCCGCGGGCATTGCGCACGACCGGCTCTACATTCGCCGTTACGCACACTAATGTGGGCATGGCAGATGTCGAGGTAAGTACGTCCGCCGAGGGCGTACTTTTTCTTCTCGACACTCTATACTCACCGGTAGTGTGTACAGGTGACTGGGACACGTCGGATAAGCAATGCTGCTCGTCCGTCATGTCGCCTTGCGGAACAAACAGTACGACCGCGAGGTCGTCCCGTATCACAGGCGTATCGCCTTGACGGTCGGAAAGAACGACCATTAGTTCGTCTCCGAGCGCCTTCGCGCGATCGTCGTGGCCCCCACTGCGCACGACAGACCTTCCGTCAGTCGCTGCGGCTCTGGGTGCGTTCATGGCAGCACAGGGTACCCTGGACGGGCAGTTCTGCGCGTCCAGCGTAGCACCATCGCCAGGTACCACCCGTAGGTTGTACCAGGGCTTGTGCGTGCGAATTTCGTGGTCAATGGAATGAAGCACGTCGGGCGTGAGGTGCTGTACGTTCGTTATGCCGCCTTGCCATCTGGAGATTACGACCGCGAGGTCGTATCGTAACAGGCGCATGTCATCTGTGTGGTTAACAGTGCATACGATGAGCCCGTTCATCGATGCACCTATTGGCGAGAGCACTGGGAGTACAATCGGCAATGAGGAACTCGAATGCTCGGGTACGACCTGGAGGTCGTTCCGGAGCATGAATGTACTGTCTTCGTGACCAGCACGCACAACGATCTTCCTGTTCGTTGATGCGCGCGCTGGCTCGGGCAATGGCAATATAGCCAGCCGGGCGTTGGGTACGTCCAGTATGGACGTACCTTCGAGTTTCGAGCATTGTGGCTTGCCGGTAGTTTGCACGTCGAGTGAATGGCTCGGCCTACCCACTACACGACGGTTGGTGCAGGATGGACGGAACACGTCGGACGTGCACCGCTGCGCGTCCGTCATGTCGCATGGTAGCATGGACGGTACGACCGCGAGGTCGTCCCGTATCACCGGCGTACCGGCTCGAGTGGAGGGTATGACCCCTGGGTCGTCCCGCAACGCGTATATTCCTTCTTCTTGACCTGCGACACGCACAACGACCTCTGTAGTCGTCGATACGTGTGCCGGCGTGGGCCCCATAGCCTGGTGTATTGATCTAGGTACGTCCGTCGAGGGCGTACCTTCACTGATCGATCCTCCGTGTGGGTCGGTCATGACAGGTCGGGACGTGTCCGATATACGGGACTGCACGTCCACCGTGTCGCTTTGCGACGTTGGTGGTACGACCGTAAGGTCGTCCCGTAGCACAACCGGGGCGATGGGCACGACCATTAGGTCGTCCCGCAACGCGTACATGCCGTCTCTGTGGCCAGTAGTGTGCGCGGCAAACTTCTCGTTCGTCGAAGTGCGCGCTGGCTTGGGTACTAGCGAGAAAACCGGCGGAGGATTGGGTACGTCCAGTATGGGCGTACCCTCGAGCTTGAAGCCTTGCTGCTGGTCGGTAGCATGCACGTCGAGCGAACGGTTCGGCGTACTCGCTACGCGACGGTTGGTGCAGGATAGACGGGACACGTCGGGTGTGCAACACTGCACCTCCGCCATGTCGCCTGGTAGAATGGATGGTACGACCGCGAGGTCGTCCCATACCGCGGGCGTACTACCTCGAGAAGCGGAGGGTACAACCCTCAGGTCGTCCCGCAACGCATACGTGCCGTCTTCATGGCCTGTGACACGCACGACGACCTCTGTGGTCGTCGGTACGTCTGCCGGTGTGGGCATTGGAGAAGGAGGCGGTGGCGAGTGGGATACGTCCACCAAGGGCGTACCTGCGTTTATTGATCCTCTCTGCTCGTCTTTCATGCTCGCCCCGCACCCTTCCCCCTCCTTCCTTTTCCTGATTTCCTCGCATTCTCCTCGCTCCGTGTCTCCCGCGTTTCGCGCAGCCTGGTTGCCTGGTGCTGGGCTTGCACGCAGGTCGTGCGAATCCTGGATCGTGCGACTGGGTTGTGTGTCGCCAGAGCCGCGATGGGTGTCGCCAGAGTCATGAGACTCGAGAGGAGAGTCTCCCGAGTCGAGATGCGAGACGCGAGGGCGGAGGGAAAGGATCGGAGAGGAAGGCCCTGGCGGTCTTGTACCGCGAGGTGCCAGGTCGCCGGAGGGGTTGCCGACCGCGAGGTGGCGGTCGGTACTGACCGGTCGATCCTTCAGCTGAACCGCGAAGGGTTCAGCTGTCCAAGGACAGTCCGCGGCTCGCACTTCCGTTGGGAAGTGCGAACCGGGTTGGAACGCGGTTGCACGCGGGCGGTGGCGGCCAGAGTGAAGGTCGAAGTGGCGGTTAGCATGGTGAGGAGTACTTCCAGCGCTAACGCTGAGAGTGCTCGCTCTCGGCGCGGGCGCGTGACGCTCGACGCGTTGAGTGTCGAGCTCGATGCTTGCCGCGTCGGGCACGTCGTCCGGCGCGATCATATATTTTGAGTCGCGGCTCATTTCTGAGCACGCGACATGTGGATCTACGAGCAGAAGCTCGCCTACATCCCAGGATGCGACGTAAGGTCGCGTCCCTATGCCTTCCCGGGCGTAGGGCCGAGTCGCCTTGTCGGACAACTGGGGCTTGGGCTCGGTCTCGGCGACGGCGGCGTCGTCGAACCGGGTGCGTGCACCACTCTTGATGGTGGTACCGAGTTTGGTCAGCTCACTGGGAGCAATCGGAGACGGAGTCTCCGGACATCTCTGAGCAGTCTCGATGTCGGGCTCGATCTGCTCAGGACGCGGCCCCTTGGGCTCAGACGCGGGCTCAACAGCGGCAGCGCTGTCGATCTCTTTGCGCGCACCACTCGTCGGAGAGCTTTCCAGCTCCTGTGGCTCGATTGGAACAGGCGGAGTCGGGTTCTCCTGGCAGCTCTGAATGGGTTCGACCTTGGGCTCGAACAGTTCTGCGTGTGCTGTGCGTTCGACCTCGCGGTCGGACGGTGCCTGCTCCGCGAGTGCTCCGGACGAGTTCTCGGGGTCGGAGAGCTCAGTCTGGCAGGTCGTGCGACGGTGACGTCTGGACTCGTTGTCCTGCTCCACGGAGCGTCTGAGCGATGTAATAACATCCTCTAGATGCTTCATCGAGTCATCGAGTGTCCGGAACCGCCTATCGGGGGTGGCTCGTGTCTCGACCGGGATACTCTTCAAGAACTTCGCAAAACTGCCAAGAATTCCATCCACCTTCGCATCGACCTTCGCGCGGTGGGCCTTCCGAGTACTACGCGAGTGCTTGGGAGAGTGGGTTGTCGATCCAGCCATCTTCTTGAGTGGTTGCGAAGTCGACTAGATTTTGATGTAAAGCATAGAAATTCGAAGTTTCCAGGTTGTTGCCTAGAGTAGATAGTCCCCAGAACAGAAGCTGTTCTGGAGCGCAAAAAGTGTGGCGTCCCTTAATCCTCGGGCCCGGTATGCGCTGTACCCAGTCTCTATTCAGAGGGACTGTCTACACGTAGCATACATGGGGCGATGAGGATGGTAAAGGACTGAGGTCTCGCAGGTGCGCTGGCACGCCATACGAGCCCTCGAACAAACAAGAACAAGCATACGAGATTAGATATACCGTAACGGGAATATCCGTTACACGCGAGTTTTGTCACGGCGAAACAGATGTCAGGGCGAGTTCCAAGCATGATATACATCAGGGAAAACCGCCCAGACGCTTGGGCCCTCTGAAGAGCAACAGAGAGTGCTTTGAGAGCGCCAAAGTAGCCAAACCGCCTCAACCAATCTCAACACAAGTGCCTCGGTCTCAAGAGGAATTGTTTGACAAAAGCAGCTTTTTATTTTT